AGAAGATCTAATCTTGTAGAGTGAGAAAACAAATGAGAGTTACATTCAGAGTGAACTGTGCAGCAGACTTTGCTCGAGTTTCATTCAAACTTTAAACCTCTTGGGATTCGGAGGCAAAATATCCTTTCGTAGGTTGACTATTGACCTGGAGGTGTTGGTGTTTTGCCAGTCAAGCGCTACCAAAACAATGACCTCATCCTGGTGTGTTCTTTTCTGTTCTCCTTGCTCTGGTTCTACGGTGTAGGTATCAAGTTTAAACATTTTTCCACATGTTCCTCTCTGTCACATGCTAAAAGGGGCCTTTTGCACCCTGATAACAACCCTCCACAACAACCCTCCTTGATGAAGAGCTTGGCATTTCAGCTGACGCCTTGTTCTCAAGTTGCTTCAAATCTGAGAGAAAAAATAAGCAACTCAAAAAGGAGGCCTGTCTTGGCAGTCGGTTGATAGGGTGGAAAATAATCAAAAGTGGGCCGGTGATATCACGACACGGCCATCTTTCTCTAATCAGTTTACCAGAGGCGAACATCAAACACAGCCACTGGCTCTGAATCAGGCTGAGGCAGAGCAGAGGATTGTTTTATCAGCTGGAATTCGCAGATATCTTTCGACTGTGCGAGTGACAAGGTGGAGGGGCTCACCAGGCACAAACAGAGAGATATGAGTTAAGCTTGCGCACAGGACAAACTGCACACTAGGGCTGAATTCTCTCCTAGGAATTTTCCTGATGTGAGTGTATTTTATCATGAAGGTAGAGGGTTGTAAGGCATTGGACTGAAATCTGAATTCTCTCTCTTTCTCTCACTGTTAAAAGGGAATATATAAACTATAAAGATACTATAGGAAGCATGTATACTTTTAATATTTAAAAAGAGCCACCATCTAACAATACTAGCTAAAGATGACAGAATATATTTTCTGAGTATATTTTTTATGTGCTTGAACAGGGAACAATTTTGCTCAAAGCTTTAGAGCTAACAGTAAACAAGGAATGACTTGAATGTAAACATTACTGAATCAGGAAATTTGCATGTATGTAGGACATATAATTGGCCCCTTTGTTTTATGATATAGAAAAATCCTTGATCTGCCACTGCAAAGAGGAAACTGATCTTTTTTTATTTTTCGCTAAATCTAATCAGTGTTATGTCAGCGTGCCCTCCTGACCTCGGCCTCACTGCTTTGTTATTTTCTTCTGCATGTCCTGCCAATCTGCCATATCACTCAAAGATTACTATCCAGAGGCCCTGTCTCACTATGATGTCTTTTCAGGCTGTTTTCTTGCAGTGCAGCATTGAGCTGGAGTGCAGGTCGATTACCATCAGAGTTCAGGTAGCATCCCCATATGTCAAATATGTGGGTGGCACTGATAAGAGCCTTCAACAGGTTTTGGTCCGCCTCCCCTCTGTCACTGAGCTCCTTTGCCTCGGCTCCCCTTCTCTTTTATACTTTCAGTGATCCAGAAAGGACCAAGATCCAGACAGACAAGACACACGCACATAGACACACATCAGATAACAGCCTATGATTGGTCCCAGGCTGTGCGACCATGTAGTTCTTAGCCAGCCTTCTTTGTTTTCAGGTTTTGCAGAGTCCTGAGAATCACCATGCATCAGTTTGTCTGCCCAGTGTTCAGTAGTCTTGTGTCAAAATCTTTGATATTAATCTGTATTAATTTCAACAAGTTCAGTTGAATTGTTATTCAGGCACTGCTGAGAATGTCTCTCTTTCATGCCATGCAATACGATGTGCATTATTTCCTGGGAAAGAGTCGCACTGATACTGAGCGTGTACGCTGTTTACACCTCTGGACACAGTATTTGTCTATGAAAGCATCACATCACAGTGTTTATGGGTGTTACCCATTACAATTACAGTGTCACAGGCATTTAAATCTAAATCCAACTGTGTGGCTGTGTTCTTGAGTAAAGGCTTGTGAGTGATTTGTATTGTAGGTTTTCGCTCCAGTTTGTTGTTGGAGCTGATTTAAAGCTTCACGTTGAAGCTGTGTTGTTTTTTTTTTTCCACATTTCCATTGTTTACACTTGCTACCACCACTAATGGTATGCTCTGTGACGGGCCTTACTTATCCCGCTACAGCTGTCGTCCCTTGTGTGGGGTTTAATTTCAGTAATGTGATAGGTCTAGACAAGTCTCCATCCCTGGCTGCTGGCAAATGTGCTCCTTAACTGTAATGTACACTAGTCCCCAAATCCCTGTGCCAGCCTCCTGATAATCAATCAGGCGTGGCCTCCCATCCCCAGCAGACTCCCTCTCTCTGGGTGCCCTTTGATGCCCAGTGCCTCTGCACCTCTTCTCTCCACACCCTGCGTCTGTGACAGTCTCTGCTGCCAGTCTCACAAAACCTCATGAAGGCAGCTCCACGGCCAGAGATACCCACCAGCTGCTGTTGACTTTGCTTCATTGCTTATATTGTGCAACCCAGACCTGGTTTAGATTGGTATTATTACCGTTAACCATACAAATTACCGCACTTTCCCCTTTTTTCGCCCCTCTGCTCCTCCTGGCACATCCTCCCCCTCTTCCTCTCTGTTTATGTGTGTGTTTGCAGGTGACTCACGTCTTCTGGAAATGTTTCTGTCTGGTTTTAAAATTCTTCATCTTTTACAACTCTCTCCCTCACTCTCATTCTTTTTTTTTCTGCCTCCCTCTTCCATCTCTCAAAGCCAGGGCCTCAAAGCCAAGCCAGGTATGACTATATCTTGGTTGTTGTTATTCTCAGTGGAGCAATGCACTGCGTTTTTTCCAGAGACTGGACAAAGAAGGTGGGGGAAGCAAAAGAAAAAAAAAGAAAAGAGACTCTGATGTGTTTGTTAGGATCACCATCCAGTTTGCCTCACAGATAACTGTTCAGTAATTTCTTCCACTTCCATGTCTCTGAGGGACTTTTTAATGATTTTAGCACTTTCATGGAGCAGAACACTAAACGCTCTCTCCTCCAGGGCATACATATGTGAAGGTCTGATAATTAGGCTTTGATGCTCCACGTTCACTCTGTCTGCTGACAATGTCTCTTGTTAAATGACTTCACACAGCATCGCAGTGACAAGTCTTTGAATGCACAGTATCTGTCAGAATAAACAGTAAAAATATGAAAATCACACTTTGTCTGTGGAATACATCTCTGTAGCATGCAGTTGGTTAGATACAGAGAATGTGTTAATCATACCTACAGAGAGTTAATGATTTCAGGAAAATGTCTCATTGGAATTTTTCTCGATTGCTGTAATTTCAATCAAAGTTGTGATTTTAAACTCTAGACCTGTGTTTGTGGTCTGCGGAGCAGTGAACAGGAAGGTTTATTCAGGGTTCAAAGTTCAAACAGCACCTGAAGCTCTGTTTGATCTCATCACATGAACTTCATCCACTGATGGAATTCACTGAATATCCAAAAAAAGGAGAGGATGAAAGAGCACTGTTATCACATCAGGGTAATCGGTTTAAGAAGTGAATGTTAGGGAGGTCTGAGACCAAGTAGAGACATCGCACAAGATATTATGTTTTCTAAAATGTGGTCAGCTAAAATAATTGAATTGGCATTATGGATGTGTGTCATTTTGTGGAATTGTATACCAGCTGGACCTTTTAATCAATGTGACAAAAGATAGAAAAGGTTTGTTTTGGGCATAATCACAATCTTATCTCATTTTGCCATGAAAGGAAACTGATAAAAGCAGCAGTTTCTCCTTGTTTATGTCCTTCTAGGAGTCCTGTAGCCTTATTAAGCACGGTTAGTTTTACTGCTGAAACAAGTGCACAGATTTAAGGTCATTACAACCTTTTACAGCAGTGGTACTTGACAGCTCGTGTAACTACACAGGTCTTATGAAATAATGGCCAGGCTTGATACAGGCGGTTTATTTTGCCTTTAACATTATATTTCATTATATTGACATGAATGCCCTATCAGTTTTAATGGTTCAAACAAACACAATCATTATATGTTAAACTGCCACTTCATTTTTTATCTCATCATTTTGATTAATAGATTGTTGGTTCCAATATTAGCTGCAGTGGAGGCACAAAGGCTGCTTTTATTGTGAATATTAGATCCAATATTTTTGCAAGCCATGACTGATGAAGTTACTGTAGGGGTTGTTCATCATATAATGTGAATCCTTGTGGGTTGAATTAGAGATTTACAGGCTTTTGCTGTTGACACATAGGAGGAGGTTAATGTGATTAGTATGGGAACACATGGCTGAGGGAGAGATTCGCAGAGACAAGACACTTTCCAACAGTTGTTAAGAGAGAAGAAGAATCAAGGATTTTTAACAACTCTCTTGCAAACAATGGTAATGATAATGTTTACCAAATGTAGAAAACTATTCTAAAGCTAAAAGAAAGCCAGATCTCTGCCTGAGATGTGTTTGGATTCAGTGAATGAACCACCTGACTCAAGTTCGTCCAAATGATTCAAGTCCAACACTGAAAACAACAACTGAAATAGGAAGTGTAGGTCCCAAAACAGTTTGTTTTCCCTGTGTCACCAACAGACTGTGAAAATCTATTTTAATGGCAGTCTGAGAACTAAAGGCATGGTTGCATGTTGTAGAAACCCGCCACTTTTTATTTTTCTATTTTTTTCCCCGTCTCTTAACAAAGACTCCACTGTGTGAAAGTTCAGATCCCACCGACACTACATATCAGAGCTAACCAAGTGCCTTTTAGGGAGAACGCAGCATGCCGTCTTTGTGTGTTTATCAGTAGAGCGAGTACATAAACAAAACGCAGGATAAACAAGAACAATCTACGACATGATGGGGCTGCAATTACATCAGGAGTTTTGCTTATATTTACAAAAACATGAGGAAAATCAAAGCTCCGACATTTGTACAGCGCGTGAAGTGAGATCGTGTGATGTATTGTGACTGAGCTTGTTGGGAATTTTCTCTTTTTATGCCCTTGTATCTTCCTCTGTTTACCGATATACCAGTGTGTTGTTCCTTTATGTGACTTTTTCTTTTTTGTCTCACCAGGTTGAGTTGCATCTGAAGCCCATCCAGTCTCTGCTGCGCCACCAGAAGCCACTGGTCTTGGTGCTCAACTCCCCCCAGCCACTGATCTGGAAGATCAAGACAGAGAACCTGGCCCTGGGCATCAAACGTACCTTTCATGTGAGTCCAGCATTACTAAAAGCCTTTAAGTCCCACTTCCTAAAACTGTGTATTCATTTCCTCACAGGCTAAACCGTTCTACCATTTCAGTAGCCCTCTTCTCTGGGCAAAAATATTTCAAGTAATGTAAATTTGTCCGCATCAAAACAAGTTCCCATGATAGGTTTGATCTGGACAGCACATGTGGTCATTTTGGGGAGGGATTATACTCATAATTAATTTTAAATGTGAGTACTCTTCTCAGAACTGTACAGATGAACTTTTCATGTTTTCTTTTTTATGATAATAGGGGTTGTAGAATATCTAAAATGTTGAATTCATATGAATACTTTTTGTTTATTATTAACTTATTTTATTAATCAGTATCTACATGCATTGAACTATTATTGCTATTATAATTTGAAAAACTCAAACCAGTGTCACGCCCTCACATCACCATGTAGAAACGTATTTGTCTAAAAAGCTGAAATGTGCTTTGTCAGCTTTATTCACACTCCACAGCCACAGGGCCTTATCCCCACTGCTTCCCTCCCTCGTCTAAACAGCCTTGTTGTTTGGCAGCTGTTCAGATCATTCAGCCCATATCCGTAAACCACGAACACCCTAACAACGGGGAATGTGTGGAAGCAAACAACAAACCACTAAAGCTCTGCTGAAAAAGGAGTTGATCTCTCCCATCACCCACTGATAAATTTGCTGAAATCCTGAAACAGGATAGAATTTATCAGCTGGCTTGAAAGTAATTTGGGTCATAGCAGCTTGTTTTCAGTCTACACAAGGAAGAACGAAACCAAATTTCATTGCATCAGTGACTACAGTTACATAGACACCAATAATCTGACTATTGATGATATTCTGGATAAAATATCACTCCAATTATGATGTTTACATTAGGAGTGAGTAGAAAACTCTAGTCATATTCCTGTTTACATGAGCACAGTCTGATGTCAACATCATGTTGACTATGCAACATATGTCTGATGCTCCAGTGATCGTTTGGACCCATTTCCTTACAATTCTTAAAATAACAGCTGTTTCTCTCTCACCCAAAAAATGAGACTCCTCTGTAGTGATATCCTTCTTGTTTTCATTCAAACCTAGGACATTCTTCAACAACCATTTGGTAACTGCTGAATGTTGATGTTGCAAAAAGAAAACTCAAATAGGACGTTGTGATTAAGAAATATACATGTCTATATAATGTCACTAATGTCAGTATGATTTTGTTCAGGTTAAGGTAATCAGAAAATGTTGTTTACATGGCAGTGTCTTATTCAGACTATTATTTTCATTTGGTCAGAATATTGTTGTCGAATGAGCTGATTTAACATTTGCTGAAAAGCGGCCACTATGGCCACAAATGGTAATTACAGGACAATGTCATAAGGAATTTGCCTACATTTCCAAAGATTGTTTTGAGTTGGTTACTAAATGCTACAATGTAAACAAGTAGACTTATTAAGGTTAGCATCTATCTATTAGTACCACAGTACATGACGAGGAGGAAGAGAAGAAGTTTGGTGAGGGGCCCCTCAGTAGATGGAGCCAGGTCCTGTGGAGAGCCATCCATAATTAGTAAAGGCACCAGGAGGCCTCGCTGGGAAACTTCATAAAAAAAAAAAACTGCTCTCGTTTGAGACCTAGAAGCCTCTGCTGTGGTTTAACTACATTAAACTACTATGAAAACGTATGTCCTTGCCTTTCAGTCGTCGACCTCCTAGAAGTGATCCTTTCAATTGCATGTTAACACCACAGCGACCTGTTAGAAAGCAGTATCAGGTACACAAATGGTTTCCATGTGTGGCTGAGTGTTTTCTTGCTTACTGCTCACAACCTGAAAGCCAATGTAACACAGAGAAGAACACACATATATTGCAAAATCCTTGTATTATGCACAGGCTCATGCACACACAGACACACATAGACACACATAGACACACACATGCACACACATGCACACACAGACACACACTCATATTATTTAAAGGGCTACGTGTTCCAGCCCCCTTGGCATTTAGAACAGACATTAATATGTCTCTTCTAGATCTTTTTTGGCTTATCTCACATGCAGCTTTTATCATGCAGACATAAGTAATAATCCCCTCTGGATCAAGAGTGATTACTCCACAATAAAAAATGTTTTAAATGCATGGTTGGAGGATTGGGTATTTTTCTGTCCTTTTTCATCGAAGAGAAATGTAGGATAAAAATCCTTCTTAAAAAAACAAAGACGTTTTTGAGGCCTCTGTCATGGATCACAGCAAAAATCATATGACGATTTTCATTTGTGTGAGTGAAGATCACAGCTTTCAGAAAAAAAACACACGGCCATATTTGGCTCGGGTGCCAAAAACTCCCTTAAATTGTTATTTCCTGTAGTAATAGGAATGCTCTCATGTCAAAAGAAGCTATGATGCACTTCATGGAGATGGATGTGCTTCTTGCCTGCTTGTATTTTTCTGAGCTGTGATAATGTGTGGCCAAAGAGAATTGTGATGTCTGCAGAGAGCAGCAGGTCAGCATCACAGTAAATGTCTCCCCTTGTCAGTGGTGGCAGACAGAGAACAGCTGAAAACCATCATTAAAACCAACAGTCCAGCCAGAGCCACTGCCGTGTGTCTAATGATGGTGGACTACAGTGGTTTTGCGGAGCAGAGACATTTCACTTCTTAATTGGGAGTTTAAAAAATGTTGCTTACTTTTGAAACGATAAGATGCGTGTCTGTTTTAGAGGAATGTGTAGCTTTGGATTCATTTACATGTAGCTCCACATGCTCTACTTTCGAGGACCATGTTGAAGAAATTAAAAATTCTGAGATTTTGAAAATGAAGTATCATAATTATGAGCATAGATTCATAATATTACAAGAATAAAGTTGTAATTTTTTGCATATAATGTCGGAATTTTTCGAGAAAAAATGGTTTTTATTTTAAGAAATAAGGAGAAGGAGTTCTATCTCCATCTGGATCATAAATCGTGAACCAATCTCATTGTGAAACTGTATAACCTCTTTGACTATCAAGCAGATGTGACCAAAAATATAAAGGCCGAACATTTGCTCCTCCCCAAAAGAGTCAATTTCCAACGTTCTTCAGACAACACAGTTTCTTATGTAATAATGTGGTGCTGATGAGCCTAAATATCAAATTATTTGCGAAACCTATACTTAAGCACAATTTATATGTCGCTTTGAAATATGACTTTATTCTTGTAATATCACGACTACTTTCTGATAATATTACAACTTTATTCTCAAAATCTTTTTCCATCAATATGGCCATCGCATCAACTATTCATCATATTGGATGTAAAAAGAAATCGGAATCTTTTATGCAATAGCTTTCTGTGTTTGTCGTCCAGTTCCTCAAGTGTGTTGAGGACAGATAAAGGGATTCTTAACAGTGAAGAAGGAGGCCCCCCGCTGAATTGGGTGTTAAGTATTTTTGTGTTTGAGGGACAGCACTGAGTTCTCTGGCAACAGAAAGCTCTCTGTATCTTATCCAGTAGCCTGACTGTATGCTGTCACATAACCCAGAGGAGTCCCAGACGCCACTCCTCTTCTCAGGTTCTCTCCACAGTGACACAATACTTAAAGGTTCAGTGTGTAAAATGTTGTGATATCTAATTTTGAAATTTCATGTTGCAGCTGAACACCCCTCACCTCACTCTCCCCTTCTACACATGAAAAAGAACCTCTGGTTCAGTTGTCATAAAAACTCAAAAGGGGTTTAGTATGTTCAGTCTGGACTAATGTAAAAAACATGGTGGCCTCCGTAGAGAGGGTCCCCTCAATATAAATATAAAGTATTTAAATATAAAGGGTCTTTTCTGGGGTAAAGAAAACAACAATTCATACAATTTAGTTGAAACAAACTTTTGAAAACATCATGAAGATTATTCTACATTAAATTTCTGCCAATAGATCCCTTTCACCTAAATCTTACACACTGGACCTTTAACATGCCACGGACCTCAAACAACACCCAGAATCCTTTCCATCCTCAGACTTTTATTTGTTAACTGTTAAGATCTACTCTTTTCATAACACTTAAATAAACTGCAAACTATGCTGTTAAAGCTTTGTGTTCACAGTGATATCAGTGGCAGACTTATCACTTGAAACGTATCATTTTCAAAACAAGTGATCATGCAAGGATGACAGTGGATTTAATGTCACTGAGTGTTTTCACTGTACCCGATAACCCACAAAGTCATGTCATTAGTTAATGATGTGCGTCTTAGTAAGTTATGTAAGATATAGTAAGCTGGATGTGCTACCAATCAGAGCTTACGTTAGAGCCAGTAAACAAAGTTTAATGGATTCCTTACACAATCTTTTTCAATGTTATTTTATGGCTTTTAAAAGACTAAAATAAGGACACCACCCTCGAAAACTCTCAAAGTGCTGAGTATCTTTGTTTCTTCAGCCGCGTGTGCTCCGCTCCAGCATGTGGTGAAATCTGAAGCTCGGCAGGCCTGCCATACCTAGTTATGGTTGCTATGTTATGATTGGATAATCGCTTTGGGGAGGGCTTTACCAAAACAGGGAATTAAATTAAAATCTTGCATCAGCCACAAGAGTATACATGTATCGTGTCCACAGATGAAGTCGGTGTGTTTGGGACATTGCCAGTTCCTGCACTTTGTGAGTGGTAAACCTCTCAGGTAGAGATGAGAAGTTGCTGGGGTGACAGAGCAGAGAAACAAAATCAAGAGGGACTGGTTTTGGGCTCAACGCTTCAGAACAGAAAACCGTTGCCATGCCAGACCTCCCTCACTCTGCCCTTCCATTGGAGAGGCTCTTTCCTGGGGCTAATTGGACTCTGCATCAGGTCTGCCAGTCCTTGTTTCCTGGTCCCAGCACTCTCAGTTCCGCGGACACAGATGGGCTGGTTGGATGGGCTTCAGAGACGTCGCGCACACTGTTGCTGTTGGCCACTGGACCCTGTCAGCTTTTAGAAAGCCAGAATCCAGACTTTTGTTGTTAAACATGCTCTCTGCAGTACTCCCTGTCAATCTGCAGCAGGCAGGAATCACCAAGGGTCCAAAATGACGTGAAATATGAACATTGAAATCAGGCCAAATTTGATTTTACCAAGGGACACAAGGAGTGAAAGTGAGACACATGTGCAGAGTGTGCTGTGTTGACTTTGTGGCCAAATGTATATATTTCTTTTGGGAGGTTTGCGGGAGGAAGGTTGTGTTGCATCTCTGTTTGAAAGGCCTGATCCACAGCTAATGTTTTATGACTCTTGATGGAACAACACTGTAAAGTTATGCTGTTGGCCTGAGCTGCCTACTGTTTGTTTGCCAAGCGTTGCCTTTTCACTCGTGTATTTCTGTCATTAGTTGAAGGTTTGTTGTAAGAGTCCATTTTGCTCTCACACACACGAGCACTCTCCTCTGTGTAATAGTTAATGGAAACCATGGGCAGCCACGATGGTTTTTAGTCGGAGACAGAAATGGCAGAGGAGCGCTCCAGAGTGGCGCTGAGACATATGGTATTGTTTTGTCCACAACAGAGCCTGCCAGTTCACAGAAACACATGCACGTCTGCAGTGAGCAGCGTGATTAGCTCCCTGTATCTCATCAAGAGAGGGGAGCTCAAATCAGCCACAGGAGCATTTATCACATTAATATTGCCAGAGAGCTATTGCATGCTCACATTATTTATCAAGTCCTTCTTCACTTTCCATCCCTCCTCCTCTGTTTGCAACACCTCTTCATTTCCAAACAGCCATTTGTGATTTTCCAGGCTCAGGGTGTTGCTCAGTGAGAACGCAGTGGAGGATAACAGCTCCGTGATAATTGATCTCAAACATTTGGCAAGCCTTCTCCTTTTGACTTCACATACGGCCATAATATGCTGAGGCGTATAGGCAGGGTGAGCACGGAATATTCTGTTCAGTGTTCATCGGCCCTGCAGGATGATCAGCACTGGCAGATTATCGCAGAAGATGATAAAGAAAGGTGTTGTTTTTAATTATACTTAAGCATGTATGATGCTGAACCGACACACGTCATTGAAGTTTCCATGCTGAAGCAAAATACCTGCCTGCAAATACTATTACAAACAAGAGTGCATGAGTTTCCACCATTACCCACAGTGAGAGCATGAGTCTCAGTCCCCATGGTATGAAGCAAACCTCTCCTCTACATTCTTTGTTTGATCTTACCTGCCAAGTCTGAGGAATTCCTCTTAAAGTCCAGGTAATATCCAGTTTTCATGTATTTCAATTTCAGAAGCGCATTGCAAGCCCCATCAAGACCAAGTTTGTTGGAAATAACAGCAACAGACCACTTCTTAGGAGATGAGCTATACTCTCATATAGTGAGGATAATATTTACTTGAAGGCTGCTTCTTGCAGCTATAGAGAACATGAGAGCTTTGTTCTGAAATCTTTACTTCAATCCTGGATTGGTCATGAGAGCAACAAAAAGATCATTTATGTGTTGCTAGAAATTCAACTGATTATTGCAGTAAACTTTCCATTTTTCTTGGTCTGGGGCATCAAGAATACACATGACAAGTGTGAAGCCGATAAGATGAATGGTTCTTGAAATATGCGGTCCACATACAGGCAGGGAGACAGACGTTTGTGGAATTAATAGGTAGATATGATAAGGAACAAATTACGATCTGGTTTAAAAAATCAAATACAACAGATTTTCATTTGTTTTCTTTAATATTGTAAAAAGGTTTGGCTGCTTTATGTGAGTGCATTAGCAACAAATGTATCAGCACCTGAGTGACAGTTTATGTAGATAGTACGCAGTACAGCGTTTTGAGAGAGAGAGAGTGAGAGTTAGTTAAAGCCCACAGTGGGTCCCTCGCTTCCCTTTTTCAAATTCCTGAGGTTTTCAGTGCTCTGGAAGGCCTGGAGCTAATTTGACTTTCAGTCTTTCCCCTCTAATTCTTTGCGACTAATTACAGTCATATTCCCGCAATTAAACTGATAAACTCTGCTGAGCTTGGCAAGGGTATAGCAAAGCAAACCCCAACCCCTCCCCATCGCCCGAAGCCACCACTTCTCCCCTCTTTGCCGCCTCTCTCTCACCGTGTTCCTCCTTATCATAGTAAACACACTAAAAATAAAAATCAACGTGAGTTCTTCGATAGAGTCTGTCTCCGCGGCCTCAGTATTTACTGCCTCTGGTGACAATGCCAGGAACATCCTGAGGAGCGTTCCAGAGGTCAGACAGCCAGATGTTGTGCATGAAGGGAATTTGAATAGTTATGTCTGAAATACCTCAACACCCTAAAGGGATGTTATTCTATTACCATTAAAGCATGATTGCAATTTAGCTTCATAACATCATCACAAAGAAATGATCTCACGTATTCTCTTGGATTAAAGTGAACTGAATGTTTTAATTGGGCCTGCCAGCAATGTCTCAGCACATGCACACAGATAGGATACCTTGGGAGAAAGAAAACAAGCACGGAAATAAAATGAGGTAGGCTGTCTAGACTGTGCGCTTGGACCCGTACGGTTGTTCGGTAGGTTTTCAGCACATGTGAATGTTTATCTGACTGAAATGAAGCATATGGGCAAAGCTCCACTAAGTGCCAAAGAGGTGGTCCCTCCTAAATACAACTTAGACAGTTTCACTCCATGTCAAACTCAAATCAGCGCTTCTCTACCATCCATTAAGACTTCTCCCTGGTTATTTCTTTTTTTGATACTACCAATACGAGCACTGAGATCAGCGGATGGAGCCCGACGGGTTACTCCTAGGTCACACATCGTAACAATGGATGACTGCGCTCCTGCCATTAGAGCTCCCAAATTATGGAACTCCATAAGCTGGTTCAACTTAGACACACTCAGCTCTCAAATGGAGACTAACTGATTAGTTGATTGGCTACAAAATATGCTGAAAAAAATGTGTATTTTTATTTTAAGTATAAAAATATACATGTTATCTGTTTAGTTGTTAATTTTTTATTGCTCATGTTTTTTGGTCTTATTGTGATTTTATCTCCATGTTTGGTCTCATTTATTCATGTGTAGCACTTAATAACATTAATAAGAAAAGTGCTATGAATAAAGTTTATTGTTGTCGGGCAGTGTGTCTGTCTGTCTGTCAGCTCTTGTGACCATTTTGAAGCAGATGTGCACATATGCGATGACGTACTGCGATGCAGCACCCTGTGTAAACACTGGAAACCAGACACCTTATTGTGAAGGGAAACGTTTGTAAAAGTATGCAGGGCATATTTGTAGAGGCTTTGAAATAGCGGGTGGGATGCAGTGTGAAGGATAGTTTTTTTACCAATGTTTAGAGAGTGGACTACATTTTTGGGAAGGTTTTGCCCTTTGCTCTGCCTGCAGGTTGGTCATTTCACAGTCTGAACAAGGATGAATGTTGATTCATTTTATGTGCAAATAGTCGCTCCTGGATGACATCTTGAAAAGTAGCACTAAAAATATTTAGTGTGAAGGCAGATTATGCATTTAGTCCCTCTTTAATGTCTTTTAATTCAGTAGAAAACTGAAAAGGATGCTGGGCCTCATTAACACTGAATTGACAAAAGAAAACATGCAGTGATCTCTCCAGTATTTCGACATGAACAATCGTATTGCATGGAGCTGAGGTAAGAGCTTATCACAGCCGCTCCTTTGTCCTCTAACTCTCTCGTCTTTTTCTACTCCTCAAGGTACCGGAGAGCTCAGAGGTCCACTTTCAGCCAGGAAACTTCTCCCTCTCCTGCCAGATCCAGAAGGAGACGCTTCCCCATGGCAATGAGCACCTCCTCAGCTGGGCCCAGAAGAAGTACAGGGCAGTCACCTCTTTCTCTGAGCTCAGGATGACTCAAGATATCTACATCAAAGTGGGAGAAGGTGTGTGTGTTGCTAGATTCTCAGAATTCCCAACCATAGCTCTGGGCCCCCAAGGCAGCACCTCCCCATTCCCCTTCAGCTCCCACAACTTCACTTGGCTTTTGTGTTGCAGCTCTGCCTCCAGGTTTACATGCACTAACTCTGCTAAAAGAATTTCTCTCTCAACAGGCTATTTAACAGGCTTTCTGTGGTGTTTCTGAGACGTGTCTGCTTGTAGCCTTAAGACCCCAAGAGTGTAAAGAATGTGCAGGGAGCATGTATTTCAGGATTTTGAAGGAATGACAGATAATTTCATGCAGTACACAGCGACTACACATTTTAAATGTAAATACAAAAATTCTCAAACTCTGGCTGTTTAGAAATGAAACAATGTATTAATTGATTTGTGGATGAACCAGAATGGATGAGCCGACTCTGCCACTAACACTGTAAAATAACATTTAGAAAGGTAATAACAAATTAAATATTCATTGCTAAACAGAAATTCCAACTATTAATAGTCTCAAAACCAGCATTTGATTTAATGTAAGGTGAATCTTTAAGATGTTGGATGGTCGAAATTTAGTCACCGACAATATTTTGCCAGTGTAGTGAAGTTCTGAGAAACATCATTTGCCTCTTCTGCACAGTTTTTACGACTGTGTTTACATGCACACTCGTTTCCTGTTTATTATCAGGTTTTTGAAGTTTCCCATTTTTGTGTTAAAGCTTAAAAAAGTTATTTCCCCATTTCAGTGTCCTGGATTAGCCCTTTTCGAGAAATGCGAGTTTAAGAGCTGGAGCACCTCCGTAACATTGAGAAGTAACAATTTTATTTTTAACAATGAAATGAGAACACTGGACACTTCTCGTGGAGGGAATACATAGTAAGTTGAGCAGATGTTAGTGGAAAAGTAGCAAAGGTCAGGACGAGATAAATCTCTTCTATAAGTTTTTCCGATAAAAATAAAGGGGGAATTAGAAGTCTGAAGGGAAGAAGCACAGGGGGATTGTCAGGGGAGTTGATGATTGATTCTCACAGACGTATGAGCTGTGGACTTGACAATTCCTTAATCTCTACTGGCCTGGTCCACACGGTGAACAGACATGTCCAGACTTCACAATACACCAGCTCTCACACAGAGCATGTTTTTAATGAGCATCTTTCACTGCATGGAAATGAGGCACAGCTCATGTCTGGAGAGACACGATGGCTCCACTCCTCCTGGTGATAGGTTCTCTCGCTATGTTGTTGGTTTCTGTGTAGAGCAGAGTGGTTGCTCAGCCTTCAAGCTTTTGGCTCATGTTATTAGGGGGCTGTGGTTTGGCAAAAGCCCAGAGTGCCATGATGTTTACTTCAAGCAAGTAGCTGTAGATTTCCACTGCTTCATATCTTCAATAGCATTTTCATGAAGATGGACACTCTCTCACTTTGCTTCCTACCCAGTGCTGCACTCCAGGTCTCTCCTGTTCCGGAGAGGAAGGTGCCAACCTTCAGTTTACACTTTGTCCAAGCCTCTGCTTGCCAAATAAGGAAGCATCTGTCTTGTGTTTTCTACAAGTGCTGAGAAGTAGCTTAACTTTTCTTGTTCTGAAGGTACTTACATTTTTGAAAAGTGGAGGAAAAAACACTAGAGGCTGTAATTTATTGTTGTTGTCCTGTCGTTGTGGAGGTGGTCTGGTAAAATATCTGGATTAGTTTTCCCATGTGAAATGAAAAGAGGAATATTGCTGTTGATAGGAAGAGAGGTCATGCCAACCAAAGCACCCCGTCCAGGAAAGAAAAAAAAGGCTTGTCCTTGTTAGCAAAGCATTCTGGAAGAGAGACAATGGGAATATCAGCTGCAGCGTTGCAGGGAAGCTGTACTTCAGCTCGAACTGCACTAATCCATAGTCTTTAAGCCACTTAAACGGAGAAGTTTGGAAACGCTGCTGGCCCCACACTTTAGGTCTGGATAGGCGGAAAAAGAGATGATTGGAAACAATGACGAACACACTCATAACCACTTGCTGATTGGGTCTTTTCAGTCACAACTTAACTTTTCTGATTCGACAGGTTAGTATCACATGACCTCCTTCAGAAAGAAAACTACCAGCATTAGCCTAGGATACCAGTGTGGAACGCAACTTTGATTGTCAATTACAAGCTTTGCTGACCCTGTTGTCATGCCAACCGCAGTTACTGTTGATAGATTCTGCATTTTACAATGGTACAACTGTTTACATGCAATGGAAGGTATCTATTATCTGAGCAATCTGTGGCCAAGTGCACATGATATGCGTTTCCAGTCGTGTTAGTATGTGTGTGGATTAAAACTCATACAGAGCCAAAACGCTTGTGTGGACAGAAAATGTCAGCCTATGGATGTACCCTTGGTGTCTGTGTGCAGGACCCTGAAACCCTCCCAGAAGCAGTGGGTGCTGTTCTGTTGCTGACCTTGGACCCTGACTCCCTCTGTGCTAGAGCGCCAACAAAAAGCCATTTATCTCCACTCTCGGGAGACCAAAATAGCCTCACAGAGCCCCCGACCTCTAACACAAACATCTCTCAACTTTCAGACCCAGTGTTTTCTGACACCTGCAAGATTGATACCAAGTTCCTGTCTCTGAACTACCTGGGCGGCTACGTCGAGCCACAGACTTCAAAGGGCTGCGTGCTCTCTGGCCTCGACAAAGACCAAGAGGTCCACATCATCGAGCTGCAAGCCCCCAACTCCAGCAGGTGAGCGGCAAAAGCAGCCGAAACAAGCCAAGAATGCATGTTATCACAGTTTATTTTTGAGGTCAAAACACTCCCACCAATTTACAGTGGCGGTGGAGGGTACTTTAAACTCAGTGGTGTTCCTTTGAGAAAAATATTTCAATACTTGGTCTCAGAGTCCAGGTTTCCAGATAATCTCCTCACTCCCCTGCAGAGCGATTATTCTGTACACCCCGAAAGACCAGAAAATCCTGGAGGGAATGTGTTGGTAGCTGAATCTCACTCCAGTGGTATCTGGTCTGTTGTGCATATGTCTGCTCTTTTTTTTCTTCTGGGAATTCATCCAGCTTTTTAATTAGTTGGCCAGACACAGAAGGTACGATAACACTACCCAACCATCCAAAGATTCCCTTTTCTCTCTCTCCCTGCAGTGCTTTCCAGGTGGATGTCATTGTGGATGTACGGCCTCTGGAGGAAGATGCCCCCCTGCATCGTGACGTCGTCTTGGTGCTCAAGTGCGCTAAGTCTGTCAACTGGGTCATCAAAAGCCACCGTTTGAGTGGCAAGCTGGAGATTGTGGTAAGCGAGCCCCTTCACAACACACAGAAGCTTTCCATCCACAGTTGCCTGTTGCTTCTTTCCCTTTATGGGCTTCGCCGCTAAGATTTGATTCAGTCTTGTCACACATCACCAGGGCTTACAAGTCCTGGCACGGACAGAGATGTCATCACTTTGCACCACTGACCCACAGAATTTCTCACACCAAAATGTGTGGCGAATTGGCGCCTGGTCCCAGCTGCACGAGAGGGTGGGGGATAACAGGTTATAGGAGGAACTGTGAAAATATCGTCGCGGCAGCTCCGGGGATTGTCATCGCGTTCAGAGAGTCAGGGGCAGGAGCGGTGGGGCCAAGGCTACAAAAGCACTGCAGCTGCACATAAAGTCTTCCCATCAGCCATGACGTGAATTACGAGCCGCGCTTGCATCAGGCATTTTGTTAAGCTGCGAGCTGTTAGGACCTTCTTGCCACACACAGAAGATAAACTCCAGTTAAATTACTACTATATATCAGAGTGCCCTTCACTAAGAAAAATGGTTTCATACATAACACTGAGCATGAGTATACAGTTTTGATATAAAATCTTCATTAGTGTTACCCAGGTCCCTCAGGACCCATAGAAACTATACGAATATGACACCAGTGTACATATAGGAAGAATAGTGGAATCGTAGATCATGTTGATAGACAGCTGGCAGTTATCCAACCACTGAGATTGTTCCAGGGATGTAATTCGAAACCCCAGCTCTTGAACCAAAAATTCTGTGCTGTAAAAACGGAAATAACCCAGTATTCTAAGTTTCCCAGAACATTTCACTTGTGCTGAGTCTAGTGACTTGGTATTTACTCTATGGCTGACCCCTGCTCTTGTGCAAACCCCTGTGCTCTGTTAGACTTGTACTGATTTCAGCCGAGGTGTGCAGGAGTTCTGTGTTTCCTCAGTGTGTAATGCTGATACTCCAGCGGGGCAGCTGTAACCATGATGCAGCGCTTTTGCCAGCGTGTTTGTTCAGCTGCCTGATCACTGCTGTACAGTGAGTCTGTCAGGTTGTGTGAGTGTAATGTAAACTCTACGCCTGTGAAATGTACAGCACACATGGATAGCAAAGCTTCTGATGGAAGGGCACTACAGAAACAGAAAGGTTTTCTTATTACCACAAAACATGTGGTCCTTGTATAACAATACAATAGCTTAGGTCAAGAATGTAAATAACTACTGTGTACATCATAGATTTATTAGCACAAAATATTCAAATCAGTTACTCATTTGCACATTAGACCTGCAAATAACAATAATTCTCATTGTTAGTTAATCAATGGATTAATAACTTGTCATAAAATATAGAATTTTTTAAAGCTAAAAGTGAGCAGTGTCCTTTGGCACTGGTTTTAAAAAATGGCAGTGTAGGTCAGTTGGTGAGCAGTCTCATTGGCTATTGCCTGATGACGAATTGGCGAATATTTTGGGGCTTCCGGTTTAGACAGTGGATATCCTGATCAAGACTGGGTCTTCCGTTTGCCACATGTTGTGTACAATGCGACAAGTCCACACAAGTTGAACATTTCTCCTCACAAAACATTAACAGTGATACAACATTTCTATTAACAGATATCAGCAAGCTAGCTACAAACGTTATTTGGTCAAACTAGAAATGGAAACCAGAAGTTTTCCTGCTCTAAATTTGCTCCCTTGCTTACTGATTCTGCAAATTCACATTACATGCAGAATCTGTTTATAGAGATTAGTTTGTGAGTCGATTTCTTCAGGTCCTGCTTGGGCTGAATTTTAATAACTTGGTGATCATCTGTCTTTTTAATTTAAACACTGTTGCTATAACTACACAACACAGATAACTCCACCAGCAGAACCTATTACAGACACAAGTACTGACAAGTGCTGCTCTGCATTATCTTCTATGTCAGTCTAAAGATTGTCAGTCTAAACATGAGGCCATTTGGTCGTTCCAAAATAGCTGACAGGATGACTTTAACGTGACAACAGGATACTGTGCTTCTGCAGTAAGTGTTTGTGAAAGTGTCAGCTCTGCTTGTGATATGACAGCCTCGTAAAAGTGAATCCCCACTTCTGTCAGAGTCTGGGTTTTCCTCTGCTTTGCACGAGAGATTTAAAAGAGTGGAACATGTTCTGTGAGAGACTCAGCTTTTTCTCACACAACAGGGCAGGACACACATCTTAGGAGCAAACTAACATGTTGGCTCCTCTGCATCGATCAAGCTGAAACACGCCCATTTCCGCACACTCATACACATGAGTCACAGTTACCACTTATATACGTGCAAGGCTGGACTTGAAGTTGAATATCTGTGACAATTCCTGAACAGTAAATCATGTCTTTTGTGTCTGAAGATCTGTAAGAAGTGCTCATGAATCTATGCTCTTTAATAAGAAATATACAAGAAGACACATTCTTATATATCTCTGCTTTTTCATCCACAGGCCTCTGATACCGTGAGTGTGAGCTCCACCACAGAGAGACTGATGCAAGTGTCAAAATCCCCCAAGCAGCACTTGCCATCAGGATCACAAGCCTTGATCAAGTGGGCAGAGGAGCGTGGTTACAGTCCAGTCACGTCTTACACCAGCACTCCTGTAGCCAACAACTTCAGTATCAAACTGAGAGAGCCAGGTAAACAGGAAAACTGTTTAGATTATACTTTGCAGGAAGAGTAATATTCTGTTAAATTCAATAATTGTTCAAATACAAGTTTTTTCTGTCTCCTTTTGTACATTTCTGTGTCATTGCAGAAAAGCTAGGGTGAAATTGTGGAATGGTTTTTACAGTTGTCGCCCTGTGTAATTTCCCTGCCTATAAAATCAGTCTGATGAGGCCATAAACATGTGTGACTTCCAGATGTGGTGGATCCTATGGAGAGCATGTTGCCCCCGGAGCTCTCCATCCTGCGCAACTCCAGTCCTTATCCAGGAGCAGGGGTTGCTTCCCGACGCTCAGGTCTGCCCTTCCTCTTCCCCCCGCCTGTGTCCGACGGACTGCCCTACCTGCAGAGTTCGTCCATCCTCGACGACCGGCCCGGGGAGAACGGCGAGCCAGAAGAGCTGCAGGGCGTCCTGAGTGTTGGCCTCAGCCTGCAGTGTGAGGACACAAGGATGGTGGTCAGCATTGAAAAAGAGAGTCTGCAAGTGAGTGGACAACAGTGATGTTATGTCATCACAGATCCTGTCTATGAGCATACACAGCTACAGCTAGTAAATATTATTGATGATGATTAATACTTTAGTTTAATAAGACTCATAAGTCAGAAGTCATAAAACACAATACATATACACAATATAACACAAATAAAGAAACACAATATACACAAATTCAGTTAAAATTAGAAGCTGGAGACAATAAGATAATACACAGTATTGCATCAAATTAGTTATATTATTTACCAGCAAAAGCCAAGTAATTACCACAGAATTAGTTTTTTATCAAATGAAAGTGTGAGAAGCAAGCAGATCCAAGCGTTTGTAAATCTCTAGCAAGGAATTTATATGGATTTTACATCATTCTGTTCTCATCCATTACCACAAAACTTGCTGGAAGGATGCGGTATTGTTCAGGAAAGAAGTAATTACATTTTGGTGTGGATCCAGGAATTTGTTTTCTCTGTCTTTAAAATTGCGACCGAGCATTTGTTTTCTTTTACATTTTGTTGAGTTCTTAAAGATTAAGTCATGGAACTTGATGGAAAATCAGATATGTTTAGGGGAATGATATTTATGCGTGTGTGCAATTGGGTCCAGATATAGTGAATTTATATGTGTTTTTTAAAGGGAACTGTTGTCAGCTGAATAGTAGTGTAGTGCAGGCATCTGTAACATTAGTATCACTATGATCAGTCAGTGTAACAATAGCAATCTGTATTAACTGCTTTAACACACAGATCTAATGGTCACTTGTTGGTTTAATCAAAATAAGTAGGGTTAGTTTGTGTTCCTGGCTCACGCAGGCTCACACTGAAGCAAGCAGGACTGTTCCCGACACTTGGCATCTGTTCACGGGGACAAGTTAGTCAGCCCACATCACAGAATGGAAACTGGCATAGACTGTAATTAGGGGAAGCTGGGGCTGGAGCGAGACCACCTTGTGGGATTTGTTTATTCCTGGGAACTTCAAGTCTCACACAACCGCTTTGAGTTTTTTTTTTATTTTTTACTATTTTTAAAATGAGTTAATAAAGGATTTTTTTTTTATCTTCATCCAATATTACCATTTTTTTGATGTTTCCACAGGCGAACGGATTTATTCATGTCAACCTCACACTCCAAGACCCAAAATGTAAAGCAACAGTGAATGCCACCCACTACACGCTGGAAACTCCTCTGACAGGCTGTGAGACCACTGTATATCCAATGCAGGGAAGCCCTATGGCTCTCCACATCAACTCTGTGAGTAAAACCTTTTATTACGTTGTAGTTTTAAACAAACCAGGCAAATAAACTGGTGATCATTACATAAAACCAAAGAATGTATTTATAAAGCCTCTCATTAAAAGAGCAATGGGGTATAAACAGCACACTGAATTACAATAACTCAGAATGTATTCAAATAATAACACAAATACTTTGCGGAATTGTTCCTATAGCAAGCAAGGCTCCACTTTCCAACAGATATCACCTGCACCCAGAAAATGGAAGCTAGTTAGCCTCATCCTTGCTATTTGGGTTTGTTGAAAAAGTGAGAAAATTAACATCTTGTATCGATTCTTGTCGGCTGCACAGGACTACAATGTTCACAACAGACTTACACAGCGTGTCCTCAGTTGTCCTTAAATGTCAGTCAGCAGCTCCAAATGGGAAATGGCCACTCTGATATCTCGACCCTGTTTCCACAAATATGGCCAAAAGCAGTTTAATCCTCTTTTGTGGATGAGTGGAAAATAGTGCAGAGCTGCTACAGCTCCAGTGTCGTGTTTTATATGGCAAGGAGGAAAAGTGAGCGATTCAAATATATGTTTGACTTAAATGTGACGGTAAACAATTGATTGTGGGATTCAATATTCACATATTCTACATCCCTGGTTATCTTCATTATTATGGAATGCATTCATTCAGCGTGTTTCTTCCTAACAAGCAAAGATGAATCACTTCCTTCCTACACAGGGAAATTTGGAGCAACACATATTCAGTCAAAAGCAGACAGAAATGCAGGGCACATGTCCAAGGTCATCCTTTGTGTTTGCACTTGGATGCAGGGATAACCTCTGATCTCTGGTCAATAGAGATTCATTTTTCATTGTCCAAGTCCCCACACATCACAGATAATCTGCTTTGGCTGCTTTCTCTCCTGTTGCTTTCACTCAGCGGTGGCACCAACAGCAGATCAGCTAACAAAACAACACTGTTAGCGTCATTGAAATGTTCCTCTTACCTCATTAAATCAAAATCTTCCTAAAGCTGAGAGTCATAACCACAGTCTCTGACATGCTTCTGCTCTGCTGAGAAATCAAAAGTATGTATTGTGTGTTTGACCAGTGCAAGTCCCACTGCTGAAGCCACAGGACATTCCCACATGTTTAACCCAACTCATTGGTTATTGAATATTTTGGCAATCTCTTTCATAGATTCAAATCTCTGCCTGAATTAAGCAACACTATACTTGCAACAGGATCTGATTGGGGAAAAAAAAAATCTGCAAACGATTTTTGTGAGTTTTTCTTTCACTCACTCTGCTGTGCCTTATGTTTTGTGAGTAACCGTCTCCTCTGTGGAATGCAGGTCTTTATAAGTCATGCTGAGACCAAGGATGGGAGTGGTGGGCCGCTGGATGATGTGGATCTGGAATCCGGAGACGTGCTGTTCCCAAGGGACCCGGTTGAGAGGACGAACAGCGAGCACCAGTCTGTCATCATGGTAAGACAGTGGACTCGTTATTGTGGTTCTCTCTGTGCGAGCTGCACTTAATCACAGGGTTAGAGTTGACTACTGACAACTGATCATCTACATCTCAATGTAAATCATGCTCAGTTGGAGGAGACTCTGTTTCCCAGAGTCCCTTGGTGCTTGTGAAAAAAAGAAACTGGCTCCTGAAATCTCTCCCTCTTTCCATGATGTCTGTTTTGTGAACTTGAGCTGACATTTTCCAATTTGAAGTTTCTCAATATTCATCTCTGTCCTGAGGTATTTTCCTTTGTCTCATCCATTCCTATTCTCCAGCTTATTGACCTTGTTTTTACAGTATCTCTTGGGTTCCTTCCCTATTTTCTGGTTCATCTTGATGTGGCTTAAATGAGACACTGTTATGTAGGGTGATGGTCCTCTGCGATGGAATCTGATGTCAGAGCCCTGCTGATATTTGTGTTGGCTTTGTTTTGCTCTCCTCTTAGTTCAACTGCACATACAGAAAGAACCAGGAAACCTCTGAAACAGTTCCCAGGATTGTACCGGGACCGTCCAGGCAGCCGGTCAACAACATGACGTTCACTATGGAGGTGTACAACACACTGCCGTCCAACAGCCCCTCGCGCCAGGCCTTCTTCACGGTTTCACAGAATCAGAAAGTCTTTGTGGAGGTACGCCTTACATCTCTAATATATTAATTCTTATTTCAGCACCATGTGTTTTCAGCTTATGCAGTGTTTTCTTATATAACTTGTGTTTTTGTCTCTAAATTGAAACTTTCATAAGAGCAGAGAAAACGCAGCTTTGTTTGCTCTGTCTGGGATTTTAGCTCTTCCTGCTTTGATCTTGTAGTGTGGCATCCACTAGGTCAATTTGTATTTTGTCTGGTTGGGGCTGCAAAGCTAACACTCACTTTCACCCCCGAGCCTTCATCGTATCTCCCTTTTTTATGTGTCTGTCTGGCTCAAAACCCTTGTTTCGCAACAGTAATTGTGGAGGTCACGTAAGAGATGGCAGAGACTCGAACTCTGAGGTCTTTTGAAGAGATGATTTATGATGGTATCAGCAGGAGATGCTTCGATGACAGTGTGGCCACCGAGCCAGCAGGTTACAAAGAGATGTCTGTGCACTAGGCTTTGGCGTGAGCCTCTCCTCAGAAGTCACACTGTGCTGAGACCTGACCTGAGGCTATGGCCAAAAGGGGCACAAATGCACTTTGATGCTCATAGAGGGGCTTTTTGTTCATTCAAAACAAACCTCCCATCGGTAGTGAACACATGATGTATTGTTGTAAATGTATGTGTCATCAAAACTCTATTTTATTATACATTATAAGCCTTAATCTGCATGATTTAAATATTATTTTTATGTGTCTGTGTCTCACCCCGGCTGAGACCTTTCTGATGAGGATACCATTACTGACAATCCGAGAGAAGGAAAGAGGAGGAATAATAACTCAAGGGCCTGTCTTGTGGTTACGCATGGAAATATATTACTAGCATCCTAACTCAGACTGAAATACTACTTGAAGAAATCTGTTTGAGTTCCTGTGTGTGTCAGTGTCATGGCGGTAGTCGTCGATGTGGTTTCCAGACACTCAATAGTGGCAGCTAGATTTTGACAAATGGCTCAGTGAGCAGCGATGAATACGATGCACATCTTTTTACTGAAATAGACAGATATCATTTCGTGGCACAGCCACATTTGTAGTTTAAAACTTATTTTGGCCACTTAGGTACAGTTAGTTGTAAATCTTATAAGAATTTATTAGCAAACAGTTGCCTGTGTACCTGTTCAGATACTGAGCATCATTAGCATTCATATTGAGTTGTGTCTGGTCAGTATTAACTGAATTTTTCCAGCTCCTAAGCTGGAAAAATCTCCTCTGTGATCAAAAGCTGGTGCTTGATTGTCCGTCAGTTGTTTGGTTTGCTATTGGATAGTTATTTTGAGTGAAAATATATATGATAAATATAGTATTACATTTGAATCCCTAAAACCAAAACAAGTAGCTTAAAATCTTTGTTCTGCTGAAGTTTGTCACTATGAACAACCTGATTTATATTTGTCACTTGATATATTATTCTATATGTTTATCTTGGAAATAATGACTAAATATTATTTTGGTTGGATTTTGTCCAAAAACTGAAAAATAAAGACTAAAAGGGAGCAGTAACTTCTTCTTTTCCACTGATCATAACTTTCTTATATAGCAGAAACAATTAATGAGTAGATCATCTTTAAGTATGTGTCAAGTGAAGTATAAGCAACAATGATTAAGTTGAATAAGAAAAAGTCAGTTATCAATCATGATTTCAGTCTCAATTTACATGAAGAGACTTGTTATGGCAGAAGTGGAGGATAAAGGATAAATATTTATTGCTTCTCTCTTGTGTGCTTCAGATCACATCAACCGCATCGGACTCGAATCTGGGGTTCACCATCATATCATGCTCCATTTCTCCCAACTCCAACCCCAGCAGTTCCTCAGACTACACCCTCATTGAGACCGTCTGCCCCACAGACGAGTCCGTCCATATCTACTCTAAGACTGACTTCCCTGTCCCTCACGCTCATTTGGATAAGAAAAGTTTCAGCTTCACCTTCAGCTCAAAGTTGAACATGTCCCTGCTTTTCCTGCACTGTGAGATGTCTCTGTGTGCCAAGAGATCTCAGAGCAGTCACAGTCTTCCGCCGGTATGCAGCAAAATCTTCTGTGAATTAACCTTATTCTTTTGCATGTTTAATGTTTTTACTGCACAAGCCATCAGGGTTGTTGTATTCTCTCCAGAGCCATATAGCATTAGCAGAGTGTGTCTGAGCAGGGTCTAGTGTTGTAGTGCTCCACCTTTACTCTGGCTCAGCAGCATCTGGCAAGTCTGCACCCAAAGCTAGCAACGAAACATGGATCGATGGACAGTTTGCCAAGTATCCAGCTGCAGAACAAAATAAGCACTGCTCTAAGCCATCAAATTCATTTTTCACTTACTGTGTTTTCTGTCCAACTCATACAATCTCTTGCAAGTTATTTTTCTTAACTTTAATAAAAAAAATTATTTCTCCACTTGAAACAGGGACAAGGCCACAGTGGCCTGAGGCTGCATTGTGACTGTAAAGCTAATTTTTAAGCTCTGATAATGATCAGGGTCAGGCTGAAAAGTTATTAATTTAACTTAATTAATTTGCAAGTTTTGTCAGTTATAACAAGAATGATTTACTCAAGGTTGAGAAATGTCTAAATGCTTCTGAAGGTAATTAATGATGTGTTCTCTTTGGGATTTCCTCACTGTAAATTTAGTAGTTTGTAAGTTCTTAGTTCTCTTATTTTCTTAAATCTTGTCCACACAGTGCCTGCAAACCAGTGAGACCTGTGACTCTCTTGATGTGGACAGCATCCTCAAGATGATGATGAACAGAAAGACGACAACCCAGCCGCTGGTTGTGTTGGATGTCTCTGGTCAGCCAGACATAACAGGTTAGTGAGAGGAAAAGAAAACACGTTTTACACCCATTCAGACCTCACGCCATGAGCTCAGCTGTGTGCTAGGGGTCTAGTTTCCATGACTTGTGGAGTGTTTGATAAGAAACCTGAAGCGAAGGAAGAAGCCGGTCTCAGGGCGAAGGAGCCAGAGAAAGCTCGGACAAGCGCTTGGAGATTACACCAAACCACAAAGCTCGGCACATCACTTCCCCACATCTGGCCATCGTTAAGCGTGTGTGCGAGTGTGATGTGATTGTGTACGCCGCTGTGCACTTTTGGTGTGTGCGTACATGTGTCTGTTTACATTAAACATCTGTACATGTGTGTGTGTGTGTTTGGGTATGTATACATCCTAGCTTGTTGTTGACGGCAGTACAGGGGAGTGTGCTGAGTTCTGTGGCTCTGGACCAGTCCATGCCGAGGGAGGGGTGGAAAAAGAGAAGTCATACAGCATCAAGCTCCAGTTGTTTTCACTTAGGACCTTCACTGTGGCCTCCACTTTCCACTAGAGAGGGAGGAGAAGGGAGGAGGGAGAGTGTGTGAGGGGAGTAGTGGCCCTCTCATTGGCTTCGGAAATCTTGAGGCCCCTCGATCATTACTTGTTTAGTTACTCATTCATTTGTACACAAGCTGTATCTCAGGGACCATGAGTGCGATCTGTGGGGGAAGGAGCGGTCTGCAGGGAGGGCCTGAGGTCATCACCGCCACATTTTACGAATTATGACCAAAACTTAATGGGGGTGATATCATGAATGCCCAATTTCTCGTGGACTGCCAGAGTGTTTCATTTGAACATCCCCTCTGAGCAATGACACCAACAAAGGGACCTGCGGTTAGCCTGAGTCAACTTTATTGACTCATGAGTTTTATATAATTTACGTCATTTTAATGTGTGAGCTTGAGCCAGAGCGATATATATGTTTTTATATATATATATATCAGCATAGCCAATTCTGGCTTATTTCAGGGTATCAGTGCAGACGACAGCTGATAAGTCAGTAAAATGTATTTTCAGGATATTTAGGATTTTAGAGACAGGTTTACCACCTGCCTAACTAGAGCGATAAAAAGATGGTATGAAAACAACTTGGAGGCTAAACATCTGCCCTGAAGGAGGTATAGGCCAATGACGTTTCAGACATTATTCGGTGACATATTACAACCAGATTGTAGGTACGAATCTTGGGATGTGCCCCTTTTAACTATCCCACTCAGAGATAAAACAGTTCCTGTACACTTCTCCAAAACTGAAGTGCTAACAAGTTT